TATATATATATATATATATATATTAAAAGCGATGGAGACATTGTAAAAGCAATACTTACACTTCATATAGAAGCATGCTTTTGAGACTTTCTGAAAGCATTATTGAGACTTTATAAAAACAAACATAACTTTTTTATACTCAAGTCTATAGTTTATACGTATGTCTTATCTAATCATGTTATTAAAACTAAACATATTAATGTAGAAATCGTCTGAGGAAGAGAGTTATATATATTTATTTATCAAACAAGAAATTTTTTTAAAAAATATTTTTTATAAAATTTGAAAATGTTGATTTAGCATTTAATAGGTTATATATATATAATTGAATTTATATGTACATATTTTATAATAAGTGACGTGATAAAAATAATATATATATATATATATAAAGAGAGGGGGAGGGGAGAGAGAGCATGATCTATTTATTTTATATTAAATTTTAATAATTAAATTGTTAAACGTTTAAGTAAGGTCAGAGGTTTGAATCTTGCCTTATATATGTAGCCGCGTTAAATTTTGGGACTAGCTATCCTACTTTTTGAGGTGCCTCCAACGTAGCGAGGAGATTAGTCACTACTATGGATACTCCAGGGATGAACAAAAAAAAATTGTTAAATAATTTTTTTTTACTGTATAAATAAAATTTACAAATTGTTAAAAGTTTTGAAAATAATTTGATATTTTATTTCATTAATTCAAATTAACAGATAATAAAAAATTATTTTTTATGTTAATTTAAATTAATATAATTAAATATTAAATGATTTTGAAATTATTTAAAATTTATAACTTAATTTATATCAAAAACTTTTAATTTAAATGTTAGATTTTTTAAACTTGATATATACAATTAAATGGATATTGGGCAGAAATTAACTGAAAGACTGACCGGTCAAAGTTATACAGCCTATGCTACATATTAATTTATATTGTTTTTGGCGTGCATGTGATTAATCCTATCTTCTCCGCAACTTTTTTTTATTTTTTATTAGGTACATAATCGCATGACATATTTTTTTATGTAATTGTGCTAGTCTGGCAAATTCAAGGAAACATCAGACAGAGCAGGTGAAGGAAAAACAATAATTGCAGGGAATACTCTAAACCCATAGTCGTAAACATTACTTTTACAGATGAATTGAATATTTATTCATAAAAATTTATTAAGAATAAATTAGATAAATTATATTTTTATGTAAATTTTTAATTAATATAAATAATTTAATAAATTATTTTTATTCGATCTATTATAATATTTTTTTATTTATCCATTTATCATCCTATAATCAAGTAAGCAATGATTACTATCACATTATAGTTGCATAACAAGTAGCTTTTTGCATACACTTGTTACTACAATTTTTTTTCTTTGTCCATTACTACTTATAGGCATTTACTTAATTCAATTTATCAAATAGAGTCATGTAATGGTGTATTTGAATTAGAGTTGAGTCAATATGTATGATCTATAAGAGAAGATTTGACGTTCAATGTGTTCAAGAAAATGAAAAAAAAAAATTAAGACTTATAAGCAACAAATTTTTATTATTATTTTAGTTTTAATACATTTTTAGATATTTTTTCTTTAAAGACATTATTTTTAAATATAGAGCCGTAGGTTAAAATCACCTTCTATTCCGTTTAAGAAACACCTCCAAATTAATTTAGTGGAAAAAATATTTCAGTTCCCTTCTTCGTCAAAAATCATTTGTTTGTAAATTTTCAATATAGGAAACACGGTAGACACGAAATAAAGTGATGACATGACACAATTATTTATTTAAAAGTATCATGTTCTTTCGGTTACACAAATTAGGCATTACCTTTATTATTACTAGTATAAAAAACGTACTCTGTATTATATTTTAAAAAATAATTATTTTTATAAATAATTATAATAGTTTCAGAATAAAATAAATTAAAAAGAGAGAGAAATTACTCATAAAAAGATAATTTTAAAAATTATGAAAAATAAGTAAAAAATAAAATGACCCAAGTAAAAATAAAAATCAAAAGTAATTATTGAAAGTACTATTTTCTTTATATATTAGTATAGATGAATGAAAATGAGAGATTTTGTATTTTTATAAAAAATAAAATAAAAATAAAAATTAAATAATAAAAATATATTGATTTAATTAATATTATGATTAGTTTATTAGCAAGTTCTTAAATTTGATTAAAAAAATATTATTTTTTAATTTTTTTTAAAAAATAAAATGATTAAGATGGTTACAAAAGAATGATACATCTTTATATATTAGTGTAGTTTTTTTTTTCAAATAGCTAATATCATGATTTTAATTTAACTTGCCAAAGTTGTTGATACAAACAAAATTGAACTCAATTTTTTTAAATTTATTTTTGAGTTTGAGTTTTATAAATAAAAGAAAATGTAATTGTTAGAAAAAAAATTATATTAAAAACAGTTAATCAAGTTTTTAATAAAAATTAATTATTAGTAAATTTTATAGATATTTCATATTTATGATGATTTTTTTAATTTAAACATGTGCAAATGTTTTTTATATTATTATCTAAGCATAGATTCTATTAAGGATGGGAAAAAAGTACTTATGCATACTCGTCGGTGGGTGAAGCTTATAATAGATTAAATTTGGATAAGTAAATAAATATTTGTAGCAAAGTAAATGATATTTTTTCTCTATTAGATTACATATAAACGAGGTGAGAGTTGTAGCAAAGTACCTTGTACATGTAATTATCCACTATGTGAAATTACGGAAATATTTCTAATCATAGATATTTCCATTTTCAATTTGCTTATTTGAATTTATTTTAATTGTAATTTATCAGCATGTTTCAAAAGTTTGTGTACGAGAGATTATAATTAATATAAATATGCGTCTCTTTTTGGTTTTTTGTAAATCTTTTATTGAATTTTATATTTAATAAATATTAATGAATATGGGTGGATATATAATATATATAAAATTTGTTAATATATGCTTAACAAATACTTTTACATTTATAAGATAGGCATTACACATCCTTTTATCTAAAGGAGTGAATAAAGGAAGACCCTCTTATTCTTAAATTTATTATACTAATATTTTAGTATCCTCATTTATTTATTATATATAATTAAATTTTATAATAAATTAGGCATACAAATAAATATTATATTTAAATATATAAATTATATTTTTATTTAAGATAAATAAATTTTTTATGGTACATGATTATTTTAAATTATTGGTATTTTTTTAAGGGATTGGTAATTTATTTTAAAAATTATTAAAATTGTAATTCATAAAATAAATATGATAAAAAAAAATTGAACTAATTATAAAGTTATAAAAATATCTAAAAATATTTCCGTTGAAAAATAATTCTTAAAAATATTATGGTGCTTAAGAAAAATTATTTTCATACTGATTTATAATTCACATAGTATACATGTTGTTCTTTTTTGAAACAACTAATTAACATCATATTCATGGCATGATTAATAGTTCCACAAAACAGTCATGTAAGGATGGACATACATTCATTAACATTTTAAAAAAAAATATTAAATTTATATATCTATTTAATTATTTAATTACATGATATTATTTTAAACATCATGTATATCAAATTTCAAGTAATTTAGATGTTTCAAGATATACAGTTTATTACTAAATATTTTCTAGTATATTAAATATATTTTTGAGTATTTAAATATCCAACGTAATAAATGTTATACATTCATATAAAAGTAAATGAGAAAATATTTAAAAAAAAAACTTTTAATCTAATAATTATATGAGGGGGTATATAATTACACCGGTGTTACATCACTCAATAGCTTTATATTAAATATGAATTTTGTAAATCCAACCGTTAGATAAAAAGTTCATATCACTTTATATGTGTATAAATTTTATTAAAATTGAATAACAATTTGAAGGTGATCAAAGTGTTCATATTTTAATACATTTTGAAATGAATATATTACGTCAATTTTGTTTTATAAAAATGAAGTATCAAATCATCTTGGATTAATTTAAAATTTTGTATATATGATCTAAGAGATATGAACTTTCAATTTAACGGCTAGATTTACAAAATTCGCATTTAATATAAAGTTATTAAGCAGTGTAACACTTGGTAAAAGTTACACTGATGTTATTATAATCCCTCTAATTATATATATATATATATATATATATATATATATATTGTTGGAATGCAAGCAAAGTCCCACATCGTTCAAACAAGAGGATGGACATGAGTTTATATATACATAGTTGTCTCCATTAGTTGAGAGACCTTTTGGGTGGTGTCCAAAAGCAAAATCGTGAGAACTTGGGCCCAAAGCGGACAATATCTCACAAATGTGGAGACATGTGTTTGTGTGTGGAAACCCCCTCGGTCTCAACAAGTGGTATACTTGTAGTTTCCCTTGCAAGAGAGGGGATGGGTTAAACCGTAGACCTTTGTTTGAGGGGAGG